CACCGACTCCACACGACACCACACGACTCCACACCGACTCCATTCCGACCAACACTTAACCATTCGGTGTAGGACCGATACAGCTTTTCTGTTCTGTCTTTGGTCGGTCTGGTCACTCTGGTGTAAGTCTCGTTGGTGTAAATGAAGTATTACATCTCAGTCACACCAAAGGGGACCGACACCAGACCTACTATACACAATGACTCTAGACCGAACAAGACATTACATTGTCTTTAATGGCAAAGAATGGGTCGGTTTACAGTCGGGTTGGAGTCAGTGTGACTGAAGTATACACTCCCTCTACTGCCCACGAAATAGCAAATAATATACAGTTATGTACATGTTATTTGCGCATATATCGTGATTTAAATCTGTATCTTAATAATTAATCTATTTTTTCATGTTTAATCTATATTTATTAGTACGAATGCCAAAACATGACTAAGTGGGTTTAAAGTTCATTAGTATTCTTTGAGCGCAAATAAACCCAACGCTTTCGAATTAGATACAATCAACAATATCGTTTAATAACATGGTCGAAAATTCTTCGGTAAGTTGGTCAAAGGTTAAAGCAGAAAGAACTGGGAGGTATGGGAGGGGGTGGGGTTGGGAGGGAGGGAGGGAAATATAGAGAGAGGGAAAGAGAGAGAGAGAGAGAGAGAGAGAGAGTGATTGGTTGGGCCCAGGCTACGTCATTACTTACATCTCTCACCGCGCGGGAGGGGGTTTTCAGATTCGTATCTGCTTTTTAACAATGACCGTCTGTTTTTCCCAGACTATACTGGTATAATTGGTACATAACTGGTACATTTATAATGCACGCATGCATTGATGAGCATTGTATGCAAATGAGTCGTGAGGGTTGGTCTCGCTTTCAATATCCATATTTGACCTGCATTCACGGAATCGATGCGCTTTGTTGTTCAGCTAACTTACTTAAAGATTGAGTTTAATAGCTTGGGGGGGGGGGGGGGGGAGCAGAAAGAAAAGATGGATTATGTATTTTTCTGAAGTAGATCTCCAGCGATAATAGAAAGTCTTTTAGTCAGTAGTCCACTGTCGTGATTTTTCGTAGCCTTAAGCAAACGAAAGAAAAGAAAAGAAAAATAAAACACATTGATGAATAAACAAAACATTAATTCTCTCCACCTAACCAATTTACTTAAAGGTAAAGACCAGTTATGGTCATGCGATTGCATTGTGAAAGAAACGTTGTGGAATCGATCAGAAAAGGTTGATCATCTAGCATCTAGCATCTGCAAGGTTCTGGAATCAACAAAATGATAAGAAATTTGGCCCATTCTTCGTAAAGTTACAAGCACTATACACAGAAAGATGTATATGGGACTACCCTATATCTCTCACAGACCATGAGAGAAACAAATTTATCAAATATATGAATTAGAAGCCGGTTTCCCGGCAAATTTTTACCATCATGTATTAGTCAAAACATATTCTTTCACATGATTGGTAATGAGAGCTTCCATTTCATTTTTTGAAATTGGAGCGTTTCCAATACTGGTCTTTACCTTTAAACATTAATTGTGACTGAGAAAGACTGAAAAAACGGTAATTTTTAATCATGGTTTTCAATATTTCGCATACGTCCATTGTAATGTAATAGTGGAATTCTAGGGAAAAAAGAGGAAGAGAATGATCCACTGGAATGCAGATGACATTTTGTAGACGTGTGTAAACTAGTTCGGGGCCCCGTTGCAAACAACTTACCATTGATGGTAAATTTTCCATTAAAGACCGTCAACACTACTGGGCCTGAAGGGATTAGACCACACAGCGAGGTCACTGACAGGTGGCTATCTCATTAACTCAGCTCTCAACTAACATAAGAAAAAGAGGATCATTGGGGAACAACAGGCACCGATTGGGGAAGTTTTCTATATAGAGGGAGCAAGTAGCTACAAGTAGGACAGTGGGGCTTTAAGGGTTATTTCCATGGAAACCTAGATTTGATTGGCTGTTGAGTGATGTTGCTAGCAAGGGTAGTTCATGTCGATGGCAAAGTTACCATCGGTGGTTTGTTTTATGCAACGGGGCTCAACTGCGAGTTAAATGCACTCCTTTAAAGGCCGTCTGTACTAGTGTGGACAGGAGGGATTAGACCACTCAGCGAGGAAACTGACGGGTGGCTATCTCATCAACTCAGCTCTCAATTAACATAAGAAATAGAGGACCATGGGGGATCAACAGGCACCGATTAGGCATTGTTTGCTATATAGAGGGAGCAAGTAGCTACAAGTAGTACTGTGGGGCTTAAAGCTTATCTGCCGTAGTTTACAGGAGGGATTAGACTGCCCTGCAAGGTCACTGGACAGGTGGTTATCTCATCAACTCAGCTCTCAATTAACATAAGAAATAGAGGATCATGGGGGATCAACGGGCACCGATTAGGCATTGTTTTCTATATAGAGGGAGCAAGTAGCTACAAGTAGTACAGTGGGGCTTAACATTATCAAAAACAGCAATAACAAAAACGACAAAAATAGTCACGTGGCTCCCTAGAAAACACGTAATACTGCTACATGTACTTTTTTGTTCATATATTATTTTTAAACGGCAAATTGTGAACGATTTCCGTTTTCAGCTGAGCTGATCGTATCCCGTATATTAAACAACGAAACCGATCTTCTGCTTTTATCGTTAAAAAAAAAATTATGATAATGATCGGTGCGGCAAACTTTAGCCTCCACTTGGACAGTCGGATTATTTTTATATATTACATCCATGGAAAATTTCATATATCTAGACCCATCATTTTCAACGATAATCATAATGAAACATACAACTGAAATATAGAATTGGGGGCGGCGATTCCTTGACATCATTAAGGGGGATAGGGAGAGGAAAGGGGCGGGGAGGGGTAGGAGGGGGTAGGGTAGAAGGAAGGTGCGACACTTGAGAGAGCCTAGCGACTTGGCGCGAAAGGGTACGTGATTTTACACGCCTTTTTTCACTGCATGGGGGTGTCCCTCTTCCCCCTGGGAGCGCCTCCATTGAATAGCGTGCCCGCCTGCGCATCCAGCCAAGGTCCCAATTCCGCCCTTTGTTTTGCGATATTTCATAGCCAAGAGCATCCATCAACTAAGTTCACAACAATGAAACCCAGCCAGAATCTATTATACCATTTGCTATCATTTTACGTTATCAAAATCCAAGATAACTTATATATTATTTACTTTCATATGCAAAGTTTTACCCATTGTGCTCGATAATTTTTTTTTTAAAACTTCAATTTGTATATTTAGTAAACAGATGAGTGCGTATTTTATGAGCAGAAACCCTGAATCTTTGATTACAGATTTGGAAATAAAAGGAAACTATCCTTATCACATGTTTTTTTATTAAAATTAGTTTGCTGTTTGTCCTTGTAGTGGACACTTTAACAGTATTTTATAAGCAACAGATGAACTTTACAGTTAATGCCCAAATCCGGTAATATTTTTCTTATTCGCATAGATATTTGATCATAATTGGAATTAATTTTACGCAATTGGTCGTAAACTTATCCACGTTTTTTTGTGCGCGACTTGTATCAACTGTCTATTTAGCAATTTTCTTTATATTGGCAAGTGATTAATGCACCCAATGAGGCGTTAATTCTAATTTGTATTTCAACGACCAATTGGTTCATAAGATTTTCTCATAATCGAACAGTTATCTATAATTTAAAGTTTTGAACAATACTTGTCGAAACAGCTGGATGATCATGATTATATAGAATTTCTATATTTTTGACCGTGTAGTATTTTTTTTTTTGGGGGGGGGGGGGGTGGGGCCTTAGGGTCCCATGACACTTTTGTGTAATTTTGCAAATAGCGCACCTTCACATGATATTTGTACTATGACAAAAGAAGATATATATTCCATATCAGAGATCATTGTTTTCTCACGTACCACCACCTTCTTGTTTCAAACTCGATCCACATGAAATTTTGTTTGATTGTCGACATGAAATCTTGTTTGTTGAGAAGTCTACCGTTTATTCTCCTTTTACCCCATCTGTCGTCTGACGTCAGTTTGATATGACTTTGCTCAACATTGATAAGTTGATAGGGATGCTCAAGGGGGTCAACGAGAAGATAAGATATACCGTTTTTCAAAAGTCGTGTCATTATTGGTGAACTTCACCCTATTTGTTGACATTGTTTTGGTTCAGTCGACGCCACTGATTTGGCACACGTTCCCTTGAATTTCACCCACGTGTTCAAAAATCATGATTTAGATATCCAAATTATTTTACTTCAGTTAAAAAAATAGAAAAGGTGTAAGAAGAATTATTTAGCATGACAAGTGTCCGATATTATTCACTCATGAGTGGCAGGGGGCACCCTAGTCTAGAATATGGCCGATTTAGCGGCACTGCACTGCTTGTAGAGTCTTGCGCCCTCTACACATCCAGCAACGCCTAAGGGTTACCCGTTGATCCCCCATGATCCCCCTTTCCTTATGTTAATTGAGAGCTGATTTGATGAGATAGCCACATGCCAGTGACAATGCATGGAGGTCTTACACCCCCCCCTCACCTGGCCAAACTAGTGCAGATATGCTTTGATATTGAATAACCTCCTTTATTTGACAGTGAAATATGACGAAATCTAATATAAAGCATACAAAATATGTCTATGCGCTTTACATTTTATTATGTAAAATCTTAATTAATTATCTGCTATTGAATTATTCTCAAACAAAAATTCTGACAAAATCTTAACTAAATAGAACAACAATTCATTCTTTAATTCTTTTCAGACTTTACCACTGTGCATTGTTCAAACATAAGCTATATATTTCGTTATTGTGAAAGTATGCGACTGCACAATCGACTTCATAACTTTCGACCTATGGTCACGCTTTCTGTGATAACCGTGTGTTTCACATTCTCTCTTTTTTTTATTTATTATTTATTTATATATATGTTGAGGACTTATTACTTGACCTATATGGAATACATTGTATCATTCCCCTTTATTTTCTTTCCGCTACAGCATGGATCGGCGCAGTTTGTGCAGGACTCACGTTTTTCATGTCGCCTTTTGCCAGTGTCATCACGGACAAGTTAGGTTGCCGACCTACAGCCGTCATAGGCAGCGCCCTCGCTCTAGCGGGTGTCCTGGCTAGTTCGTTCGCAACCAAAATCGAACACATGTACATCACGTATGGATTCGCCATGGGTCTAGGCTTTGCCCTCGCCTATCAGCCCTCTTTATACATTCTGGGGATATACTTCCAAAAGCGCCTTGGTGTCGCGAATGGACTGGTCACCTTCGGCAGTGCCATCTTTACCATTGTCCTACCCATTGCCATGCGTGAGATCTTAAACAGCCATGGCCTTGGTCCTTGTCTCTGGTTCCAGAGCTCCATCATCTTCGTCATGCTTCTTGGCAGCCTGACCTTTCGTCCTCGACCGGAAATGGTTGAGGTCCTTGACCTGAAGGAGGACTATACTTCCGTCCGGAGGTCAGAGGAGGATGATGACCTTCAGGAAGGAAGAGGATGCTGTGGAAGGTGGTGCAGAAGGGTGAAATGTACCAAGTGTTCCTGTAGCAGTATCATCGATGTCAGTATCTGGAAGGTGAGGAACTACAGGATATGGGCCATTGGTGTGCCGCTAGGACTGTTTGGATATTTCGTGCCTTTCTTTCATCTGGTGAGTAGACCCTACCTTGTTTAGATAACCAAAGATGAATCAGAGGGAATATGACCACTAAAAACTTGAAAACACTCTCGCCTGACACTCGTTTATATTAGCCATCCATGGTGCATTCGTATGATTAAAGCGAGGTTGAACCATGCCTCACTTTGTCACAAGGTACGTTGGGTTACGGCTCTTCAGACACACATCCCATCCCCATTTGGCGATGACTTCAATAAGGAAGAGCATTATGATGATAATCAAGATATTATTTCAACTGACTGCTTTATGGTTGTAGGTGAAGAAAAAGTGGACCTTTAAAATGTATTAACTTGATAACTAAGAATAAATGCCCTAAAAATGGCATCAACTCGCTTTCGAGCTTGGGACCGCCCGAGACCACTTAGTAGTTGCCCTACATCACTTTGACCCACAGGGTTCCTTTGGTTGGGTAAATACTCTGACCTAACTAAATCTGAACCCTTATGATATCATTAACCGTACTCCCATCTATTTGTTCCTCCCAGGTGAAACATGTTAATGACACACTTCCTGAAGCTCGGGCAGAGGTTCTTATCATGTGTCTTGGTGCTACGTCGGGAATCGGCAGACTTGTCTCAGGCTTCTTGAGCGACCATCCAAAGATCAACCCTGTCTACATTCAACAGGTATGAGAACACTGTTATCTACAAGAACATTGTTTTTCATAGGGTCCGTTATAATGCAGGACCATTATGTAAAACAGCCTGCGAGCTGATAGATGTTATCCTGTTAAAAGATGTTTTAATAAAAAATGAAAATAAAATAATAATGAAACAAGCGTTGGCGTAGGTTATAACGTCTCGGAAGTTCAAGGAAATCGGTTGGAGTAGAGGTTTTGTAGTCTGTAGAGGGTCGTGGTCTAGTGGTTACGTAACCGGACTGTGGATCGAATCCCAGTCGCAGCAAGACAACAATCTACATTTCCTGCTCGCTGCCCAGGGCCCTGTTTCATAAAACTTGATATCAATAACAAGTTACAAGCTACTGTTATAAGCTACTGAAATCAAGCATCTGATTGGCTGAGAGCAAATTTATCATAGAAATTCCTAGAAATTAAGCATTTTTTATAGACAAACAATTTTATGAAACGGGCCCCTGGTGTAGTAAGTGAGAACCTAGGGGGAAGTCATTCATTGAACACCATTGAATACTTTCAGTGCATCAAGGGAGCTTGCTCGAAGCTAGTGAAATGTAAGTACCTGGTAGAAACCTTAGAAACCTTAGTAGAGGTGTCGTGGATGAGTGGATACGTCGCCAGACTGTCGATCACAAGGTCCGCGGTTCGAGTCCCGCCGCGGCACTAATGTCCTTTGGCAAGACATTGATCTACATTTGCCACTCTCCACCCAGGTGTTAAATGGGTACCGGTAGGAAGGAATTCCTTAAAATGCTGTGAGCGTCGAAATCGGCAGTCGAATTCGGCAGCCTAGCATAGCCGGGTAATGTTGGAGCGCCTTGAGGACCTTGCAAGGTCGATACGTGCGCTATATAAGAATCCAATATTATTAAACCTTGATCATCCCCTGGCTGTAATGTTGGCAATTCATAAGTAACTGTTATTATTCTGCTTCACATCCTGGCAGACTTGTTTATGATGGATTTGTATTTTTGTAAATGGCATGCTTTGGGGAATATGATTTGAGCATAGGATCGTCTAATGTAATGAATAGCCTTACAGATATTCATTCAATTATACACGCAGCTGAGAATGTGATGTACACGTATTTGTTCTTCCTCTTTATGAGATTGCCTTTTCTCTCTCAAACCGCTCGTCTCTAAAGGGATAGTTCAGTTTTGTTTTCAGACCGCAATTGTCTTCAAAGTGCATGGCTATTGCTCTTATTCTTATCTATGACATTTCTAGTGCCCCTTGAGGACCCTAAATTGCTATGAAGGTAATTTTAGACCCGAAAATGTGTGATATTTAGCAATACGATCATATCAATTCAGTTCCACTTTAAAAAAAATACGGTGACCGTTAATTAATTAATTAATAATAACAATACATGGGCCGGCTGGTTGGGCTTAATATAACCAACACAAAAAAGCCAACCCCGGCATTGCCTGAAATACAACGTAAAAGGCGCTATTTCGTTTTTTCAACGGCTTTTTCAAATTATCGAATATTTGTGGTGGTACACAAAATTAGAAATCGTTATATTTATGGATATTTCAGCCGTCTCTGAACCGATTTTGATCAAACAAAGATGATTTTGTCATTTAAATTGTATGTTCTTTCAAATTTGATACTCAGTTTTTCATTATCTCACAATTTTTGTGTGTGTAGCGCCCTATTCAACAGAACTCAACTATCCCTTTAACAATATAGGATTGGGAATCATCCAATGTAATAATCATATATTTGGAATTCATTCAGACACGGCTTACATGAGATTAAACGCATTTCTTCTCCCCTTCATCAGCTTGCCTTCCTGGTAATCGGAGTCTGTACAACGCTAATGCCGGTCTGCCGTAACTTCATCGCTCTTTGTGTAATCGTACTCATCATGGGGATCTTCGACGGTGCATTCGTTTCGATGATGGGACCCATTGCTTTCAATTTGGTCGGGCCGCAGAGGGCGTCACAAGCGATTGGATCTGTCCTCGGTCTCATGTCCATACCAATGATGATCGGGCCACCGGTTGCAGGTGAGTTTCTATCAGGTCGTCTGTAAGTGAAGTAGTCACTTGTCAAAATAGGAGTTTCGCCAATGTTAATAGAGCTGCAAGATCCGTACCTTCAAGATCAGTAGCGGCAGTGGGAAAATAACTTCCCTGCACCTTCTACAATCTAAAACTCTATCAAAGCGATTTTTCAATTTTACACAACCTTTCCATTTGGTTAATAATGATTAATAGAATACTTGGAAGTATAGGAATTAAATAAATCTGCGACCACATATTTATGTGAGAGCGCCATCTGTAGACGAAGAATGGTGAACTTGATACAGTCTTTGCATGTTTTGATGTAAGAATTTGTTTCTTTCTCAACGTTATTTTGAAAAGTAGTGGAGGTGGTGGTGGTGGTTATTTTACCTGACTGCTAAGAAAATATAGATGCTTGTAATTAAGCAACCAGACGGTGATTTAATTCAAATCTATTTCCCTATTGTTCAATGATTAACCCAAAGCATGAATCTATTCTGACTTTCGTAATTGTATATAGGAAATATTGAGTTTTATAAAGGATTACCACACCTTCAATTTGTATAGCCTATTTGGCAATCCTTCTTTATGATTATTTTATTTTAGTCTTACAATTTAAGTATTTTACGTTGACAATGTATTTAGTATACAATTTGTTCAATTATCATGATAATGTTGTAATTAGTTTGCAGCTATGGAAAATACTGTGATGAGAAATAAAATAAATCAAATCAATTATCCAGAATAATTCGCTGGTGGAGAATCTTTCGTGCTTACTCTAAAACAAAGCTCATGCTTTCCCTCACAGGGTTGATCTATGACATAACTGGTACTTACACCATTGCCTTCATCTGCTCGGGAATTCCACCCATCGTCACCGCCTGCATCCTCTTCCTCCTGCGCCCCGAGCCACCACGCGAAGAGGACGTCGTCAACGAGACCGACGCCGCCGCCGCCGCGGAGGAGAAAGAGCGAGAGATGATGATCCCTAGGGAGACGACATCAGCCATGGCTACCAAGGAGACGGAGGCAATGGGTGGAAAGGATTCCAGGGATGAGGATGTTCGGAAGGGAGGATTGAGAGGCGGGAGGATGGAAGATGGTGGTTTTGATGACAGGCGTGGCCTAGAGGATGACCGCGGGAGGAGGAGGAGTTATAGGAGAGATGTCATGTCACCAAGCGATACTCGCCTCATCATGGAAAACCATGTTCCTCATAGCAACGGCAACCATCATCCCAATGGTGTCCATAGCAACGGAGACATCAACAAATACGCTGGTGTCTACACGGAGGGATTTAGCGACAAGGGGGTACTAGCGGGTGCGTACGGGCTGGAAGAGGAGGGGAGCAGATCGCCGTACGCTCAGCGTAATCGAAACCAAAGCAACCACCATGGGAGTCCGAATGGGCGTGTCCCTAAAGACAGAGGCATCAAGTTTGAGATGAATGGTATCTTTCACAGATTAGACTCTCAAACAAACGAACTTGGAAGTATGATAAATGTCATGGACAGAGAGACAACTTTATAGACTTTAATTTGTTTAATCGGAAACAAACGTTTGCGATTTTGATCGTGCCGCTTTTATTTCATTTCAGCTTCGTTTTGCCAAAAGTTGTATTTATGAAAATAGAATTTGATTTTATGACAGAATAAATGTATATATATTGTAATACATCGAAATGTATACATATGAACTGTAAAAAAAAATTGTATATGAGCATCAGTGGCTTGATTTTTAAGAGTTATAGAAAGAATGTTTTATTCACACTGCTATTTGGAACTCCCGTGTCTATATTGGAAGTTATTATCTGTCTTTTAGATCATATTCCATAGAGATATTATCATATAGTTATGTAAACCTCAACATCTCCTGTTAGAAATGATGCAAAAAGTCAAAAGTGCGCGTAGTCATGAAATGATACATCATTATCAGGAATCATTCCCATCGAAACCACTGGAGCCACAGTAACGCATGTAGCGATTTCAAGTTAAAAATAAGTGCCGTAGAAGGAGGGGGGGGGGGGGATGGGCAGGGGTGGCTGGGGCGAGTGTGCTCTAATATGCATAACATAAGTATGAAGTGCAAAGGAGCTGGGAGGGGGTCCCACTCCCGGGATAGGGAAATTATGCATTTTCAATTTTTTTTTCCCCTTCAAAATTCCGAACCTTTCCCTTCTTTTTCCAATTGTATTCTCAGTGGGATTTGTGCCACTTATTTAAAGATTTTCAATTGAAGTCATTTGATCTTCCATTATTTAGAATTTTTTAAATCATCCTGATAGGACCAAGACAGTTTTAAAGATGACGGGTATTCATATTGAAAGGTATACCGACTATTCAAATGTTTTTCTTTGCAATAGAGGGTTTATTTTGATATGCACAGATAATGGACAGTTTCCTTTAGAAATCTGGGTGAATGAAGTCACAGCTGCGTTTACACTGCAGGCAGATACTGCTTTTCTCACAATCCGGAGTTTTTCTCAGAAGTACATGTAGTTAGGCAACCACCCATACAAACCAAATTGAAAAACTCACATCTTGAGTGTCGTTTTTTTTTAAACTCCACCGTTCCTTGCAGTGTGAATGCTCGCGCTCAAAACCGGTGAATTATTCCTTTTTTTTTTCTTTTTTTGACTCTCCTCGCCTCCTAATAACGCATGTAGAGCAGCCACAAGACATTACAATTAACTGTTCTTATGGATGTATATGGTAATTAATCCCCCCCCCCCAAAAAAAAAAAATTGTTTTTTTCCCACAATGTGAATAGGCCTATTGGCAACATGTTACGCCGATGACCTAACCTAAAACATTTTTGTTATATAAACAGGTTGGTTAATATCAAAACAATATTTTCCCTAAATAATTTTGTCTATCTAGAATAAAAAAGAAAAAGGAAATAATGTTGATATAATACATTTTGTAGGTACCAGGTACATTTTCTCCGACGCAATAAGAATATTGTGTCTATGATCAGTCAGTGAGTTACATTACATTTTAAACGATATCACGGTGCTATAATATCACCCCACAATGCTAATTTAAAATCCTTTACCAAGTTATCTATGTAACAGGCTTGTTTATGAATACTAAGATATAAGGACGAAAATCGCGATTAGATATCATGGACATATTTGGCAGACTTACGAAGAATTTGAACGCTTCGCAAAGTCTAAAACCGCACGTTTTATGCGCTCTATGCAAATAGAAATGACAAGAACAATTCGATGGATAGACTGTTGTGTGCCTTACATTATTATGCAATCGAATTGATTTTTCATACATCAGCTGTAGTTGCTTTTAAAACTTTTCATTACGATGTGCAATAAAGAATTCAGTCATGGAATATCTAAGCCTATTGTCTGTGTCTCGTTGACGTCCTTGTTCTTTGGGTAAGTTGGGTTCCGAAAAGAAAGCGGTGAAATATCATAACTATGCGTGTGTGCGTGTGTGTGTGTGTGTGTGTGTGTGTGTGTGAGAGATAAAGGAAAGATATAGAGAGAAATAGAGAGAGAAGGAAAGAGTGAAAGAGAGAAAGAAAAGAAAGAGGGAGAGAGAAAGAAAGAGAAAGAGAGAGAGAAAACAAAATAGAAAGATGGAGAGGGAGAAAAAAAAAGAGAAAGAGAGAGAGAGAGAGAGAGAGAGAGAGAGAGAGTGCGAGAGAAAGAGAAACAGAAAAATCGTGGCAAAATGCAATGAATTATTGCTAGTAAATAGAATTTTTAAATTTTTAAATATTTTTATTTGTAGGGGCTGCCCCCTTACCTAGCCACCGCTGCGTACATTCATGATTCAGTGGTAAAACAATGGCCTCGTTAATGTGAGGCCCCATGATCAAAACCGTGTCGATGTGCTATATTAGCGCCCTTTTATGAGGCATTAATCCTCATAAATGTCAGTTATGACATATGGACGTAGAACCCCTAGTTGATAAGCACAGTAGCACACACATGCTTTTAGCAATCACGCAAAACAAACACTCGCAAATTATTACCCAATAAAATCTGAGAATGTATACTATTATCTAGATCTAGTAGGAATAAATCATTGTCAAAATCATTCCATAAATTAGGGTAAACATTTTTTTTGTTCCACATTTATGACCAACAATGTATACATAATTATATGCACATGTATAACAAAATAAATCCTTATTTTCATTCCATTTTTTTAATTATTGATCATGAATCGGATTTCACAACATGTACTTTGTAGTTGTCATTTGTAATTACTTTGTGTACTTTTCCTCCGAGCAGCAGTGCAGCTGACCCCCAATAATTTGTTAAACCCTTGTTATATGTTATGTAATGTCTCCCCTTCCTTTCTCTCGTGACTCTCTTTTCTTCCTCTAATTCATCTCTTTTTCTCCCTCTCTCGTTTCTTCTTTTCTTTCTGTTACTTTCCTTTCTTTTGTTCCTTCCTTCCTTCATTCCATTTCTCTCCCTAGTCTATCTGTGCCCGGGATGGTGGGGGGTGGGGGGGGGGGGGGGGAGGAGGGGACGAGGGGTCGGTTTTACGAGTTACTTTTCCCGGGGCTACATTCTCATTTAATCCCCGCATTCTACATTCCCTTCTATTTCTTCCCTTTTAATAGTCTTCTTCCATTTAACCTTATATTCTATGTAATTTGTATAATATGTCTGTATTATTTAGCTATTCGTACTTTTTATGCATTTGATATATTGAATGTACTTATATTAAAAATTGTTTACAAATTGTGGAATTTTATGTGATATGCTTCACCTGCCTGGATGGAAAGTTTCTTCTTTTGTTTTGGAAGAAGACAATAAATGATATATTCTATTCTATTATTCATTCCTCTCGTTCCCCAGTTTTATCACCCTCTCTCCCCCTTTAAGTTAAACTCTCCCATAGTTCACATTTTCTTTTTCCTTTATCTACCAATTTTCCCTCTTTTTCTCTCTCTCCATCTCTTATTTTATTTTCATTAATAATTAGTTGATGAACTAACCAATTAATTCATTATTTCCCTCTCTTCAATTTTTTCACCGGCTCCCGTTCTCCTCTCTCTTTCTCTCTCTCTCTCTCTCCATCTTTCCTTTTCTCTTTCTCTCTCTCTCTCTTCTCTCGCTTGATCTCAACTTATTATCTTCTCTGTCATTACCTCGATCTCTCTGTCTGCCTCACCCTAAAGACTGTAGAGGCCGTCTGTTATATTAAGTTGGTTTCAATTTACGCAGAAAAATGAGAGGAACAGGTACTCGAAAGTTTGAGCTAACTGTGACCTGATTAAAAATAATTAAAAATAAGAAGTCGTGAATTTTTGAAGTTGGGATCGATCGAACACAAATTGGCAACTCTGTGACGTCTGGCGGGTACAACCCACCACTTAAAACGTCTGGTATTCGTCATTAGTGGTATAGGGTGTAATGCTCTCAATTTCCACCTGGTTTGATCCATTTACGATACTCGCTAATCTATATCAATGTTGGGCCTCTTGAGGGCCCTTGGCCGCCCCCACCACTCTGTGCAAGACTGATATCAATCTTCTGACACACTTTTGTTCATGGATCATTGCTGTGTATATGAAAAATAGTTACTGTTTTCTGCTAGGCAGACCCACTCTGGTTTCTGGTCTATCATTCACGGCATTTATTTATATAATAATTTTGCAAGATCCCCTCATGCCGTTTCTACTCACTTCCTTTCTCTTAACAATTTGATAACAACAGATAATAAGAATAATAACAAAAGACACGTGTATCAACCGAATACCTTTGTGTTTATCAGTAATTACGCATGAGAGGACAACAGAGAATAATAAACCAAATAATTGTTCTTTTTGCAATAGATCAATTTTAATGAAAGAATTCGTCAATACAGGGTAGGAAAGTCTGCTCAGTTACATAAGCGTGTCCGTTTGAGATGAACCTCTAAAACTTCAAAGTAAAGAATGATATCATCTTTATAGCAAAAATATCGCCATGATAAACCCCGGTTCATAAAATTGTATTTTAGATAAACGTTTCAAAAATAGAAAGAATTGGAGAAAAAAGGAGGGAGAGAGAGAGAGAGAGAGAGAAATGAATGGGGGGAATTTTGGGGAGCTTGTTAGCACTTTTTAGGACATGTGCCCCCCCCCCCCCCGATGGATAAAGTATCCTGAATCGTTGATATTTTCTTTCTCACTTTACTCTCTCTCTTTTAATAAAGGCTCATTAGGATAAGACACGGTAAACAGCAGCAAAACTGAATAGAAAATAATTTTGCGCGTTTTTACTGAGCTATGTGTTATGAAAAAAAGAGAAAAGTGACGCTTATAACATTTTACGTCATCATAAGAAACCACCCGGTTTTGCCGCGTCATTTTGAAACGAGGCCTAATGAAGATTGTATCTCTTCCAAGGAACTAAGTTTTGGGTTAAGGCAGTTAGCACAGTGGTTATAAACCTATATAGGGTTAGTAAAATGTAGGTAATCCGTCATTTTGGGGGTATAGACTAGGGAACGGCCCTGGAATCCAACTTTTGTCAAAATGTGTTGAGTCTCTACGCAGTGGCATCACGTGTTATTGAATTCGTATGTGGCAAATGATAGTTAGGAATTTCGCTTAAAATGCGTAGTTGGAAGGAATGTTTGCGGATTTGAACTAAAGGATTTTATTTTTTTTAAAACAAAATTTGATGAAAAGGGGTGATATTTGTTCACAACAATTTGAATGCGTTTATTCATTTTTTTTTCTTCTCAAAAACAGACTAAAAGGGGCTAGTTTTTGTGACTGTGTATTCGATAAATTAAACATAAGGATTAGGATCTAGAGCCTAATCTGTGTACCAGCTCTTGTGCAAAAGGGATCATGTTTTCTATATTTGTGGGTAAAATGTTCTTGAAAATTATGCAAAATAAAGGGTCCTTTTCGACTCCGCTGTAACGGTCACGCGTCACACCTTTCAATATGAAA